GTCAGGTGACGAAGTGTGTCAGGAAGTGTTGTGGACGCTGGCATGTGAAGAGTAAAGATGCTGTTTGGAGTAAGAAATCCGTCTCCATCCTGCTGTCTCATTATTAATCAGAGTGATCCATTAACCATCAAAGAACCCTCACGTTACAGTAGTTTAAATTGAACGTCATCATTCCTCGGGTGAGAGTCTCCAGGTGGCGCTGTCGGGTTCGTTAGACACCGGTACAGCTCCATCCGGCTCCTTTATTCTTCTTTCCTCCACCCCATTTTGTAGCCCCCCGCCACACACTGTTGGTATTAAAATACTGATAACCACAGCTTTAAAGGTTTTATTTTCACTTTCTTTTTATAAGTTCCGTCTCGTCCTCCTCATTAAAACGAACCTTCTGCTTATGAATATATTTCTCCAAACTCTTGTCAACAGAACTGGTCGGCTGGGATCGGCTCCAGCTCTCCTGCAACCTGCTGCTACGGTTTAAAGCGGTTAAAGCTAAAGCAAGGGTGGATGGAAATTTAGCACTGTGCATTATTGTATTTCGGTGACTCGGCGCGACACCAGGAGGTTGGCGTCGCCTGGAGGAGCTGCCCGTTCAGCAGAGGGGAGGAAGCTCTGGGCTGCTCCACGCCAGCCCCCTATGGCCTGCATTCACTCACCCCGACTCCATCTGCATAACTGCATCTTTCATGAGATGTGGTCAATGCCCGATCCATACTGTACAGCACCGCCTGTGTGTGAAGTGAATGTGTGTTGTTTTCTGTTCATTTTGTTTGTGCATGTTTTCGTGTCTGACAGGCTCTCGATTGTGTCTCCTACCTGTTTGGGTGTCGCAGACTAATCGTCCGGGTCGGCCAACGGATGGTCCCCGTTTCGCTTAGCTACGAATTAGCACTCTCACCCGTATCTCTTCATCACCTTCATGGGTCCTACTAGTGGCACCTTGTTTAAGCTCAGTCAATATTAGCAAAGAGGGATGTGGGTGCCGGGAGCTGGTAGACGACCCCTGTAGTTCTTATCAGGTAAAGTGGTTTTTGATTAGTGTTAATGGCTGGGACTAAATAGCCTTCAGCTTTTCCACCGGCTTCACTTGTTATTGTGTGTGTGTGTGTGTGTTGCGGCTCTGCTCAAGGGCGTGCTAGCTATTCATCAAGTTGACAAAGCTATATCTGCTCTGCAATGATGAACAGGTTTTATGTATAAACCCGCTCCCTAAACTATACCCTTTACACCGTCTGGCTGCTTTGAGCTATTTCAAGAATGCCGCTGGATGGTGCCTGAGCTGCGAAGTATCTCCCATCAGCCACAGCGGAGGAGTTTCAGCGTGTCAGCACCGCTACAATATACAGACAGCAAGAATGAGGCTTTTCTTGTTGTGCATACTCCAACCGTGATGTACCCGTGGCCCAGAAAGACAGGCTGCAGCACCCGCTCTCCAAAACGCTCGGCATCTGGTGCAACAGACAGCCTTGCATGTTAATGCCGAGTTAATATTATTCTTATGAACTGCGAGTGACTTCGCATGTTAGTGAGCGCTCTGTCAAATTAATGTCACTTCCATTAATGCCGCCGTCTATTTCGTGTCACAAGCGCGCTCGTGCCAGGCTCAGAGGGACACACACACACACACACACACACACACACACTAACACGTATGCACGACCCCATGCAGAGATTCACACCCCTGCATCTCAACATGCAGTATTTACACATGCACTCACACGCACACGTCCTCCCTCCACAGAAGCAACAGAGACGAGGAAAATGAATGTCCCGACTCATTTATCACATAGCCCCAAAAGTACAGATGAATCCAGTGATGAAAATCTGTCCTGAGAAATGTCAGGAAGATATTAACTCCAATACATCAAAGCGGAGCTGCAGTCTCTAAGCTGACTGCCAGCCGATGCTCCCAGCCTCTGGTTAAGTAGGGGGGAGCAAACCAGCGCCGATGTAATTTTTTTTTTGCCAACTCTGACCATTTGTCACAGAGAAACGAGTAAATAAAGACACAAGTCACTTCCGTCCGAAGATTAACATCCGAAATGATGCGGAGCGAATTTCATTAGTGCCCAAATGCCATTCTTTAGATCTGTCTGATCTCAATGAAGTGTGAGAGAGTGAAGGGAAAGAAAAGAAGAGGGAAATTGCCTTTTCATGTAGATTTCACTAATCGCTTCCCCAACAAAATACGGCAGACTTGTACTAATAAGTAAGTTAAGGCTCAGTGGACAGATAGAGTGAAACAGCACAGAGGCTAATGGAATTGAGAGCTTTCCATGCCTCCATGGGTGTCTTAATTGTCAAAAGGAGATTCTCAGATGAGCATTTCGGCGCTCGCCCGCCCGCTGGATTGTGGGGAAGCCTAAATTGGAGTGCGACTCACTGGACTTGTTTTAAGGCTTCTCTCGTGTGTACAAGGTGGATCAAATCCCTTATCCGATGTCTGGGAACAGGTCCTGTGATTCACTCTTGTTGTTTATCTGGCAAAGTATATGTTTTCAGTGCAGCCAACAGGGACGGCAGCAGGCTCATATCAAAAATCTATAACTTGTGCTGTTCTGCGCTTTCTCATCTTGCGCTGAATGTATTATGGGCTCATTTATTTTTTTTTTGCATGGATTTATTTATTCATAAATATTCATCCTGAATGTCAAATATGTGATTTATTTGAAAAAAAAAAATATTATATTGCTTTTTCAATCTCAGCCGGCTTGGATTTATTGGCTCCCGTTGCTATTGTTATCGCGGTACCTTTATAGCCATCTATTTTAGCGACGCTGCTCTTTACCAGTTATTACAGCGCCAGAAATCCCAACCACCGCGGTTCATTAGCAGCGAAATTGGAGAGTAGGAGGGACTCCGCCAGAGATAGAGAACGCAGCTTTTAATCTAAAAAGGTCAATGTACGCGAGCTATTTTGGAGATTCACTGCAAGCTTATAATTGGGGCCTTGTCTGAAGACAACGTAGAATTAAATGAAGACAAAGTTACTGAGCGTGTGGTTGGCCTTTGATGAGAATCAGGGAGTGAGGACCCTTCATTTGCAACCTTTAATCAGTCCAGTGAGATCGGATTCGCGTGTGATTGTAGAAGAGAAGAAAGTAGGGGGAGAAATGAAATGGTAATTAGTATTGATTACCTATGTGCATATGACCCCCCGGTCTCCCCTTGCATTCCTAAATCAACCCAAATTATTGGATTTTCTAATTTCATGCTTAGAGAAGAAGTAGCCAGCAACATGAAAATGCCTCCACAGTGAACCGTGCGCCCATCGGGGTCCCAGGAAATTATAGTGAAGAGAAGCCGGGCTCGTCTTTGTGCGGCGGCGTGGGCGCCAACCTGAATGGAGCACGCCGGTTTAAGTTAAGGACGATAATTATTCTAGGAGGGTCTGTGGGGAGTAAAGGTGATTCAGGTAGCTTTTCCTTCAAATTACATTTCACGTCACTTCGCTGTCGCTAAGCGATGGCCTCGGCCCGGCCATATATGTGTGTAATTACTCGCAGTTAAGACAGGGGGGAAAAAAGGTCCATTTAGGCAGGAAAGAGAAGCCCAATTACATGTATACACAATTAATACACCCATGGGAAATTGAAATTTTCTTTCAAATGATAAGATTAATTCCTAATTACGGCTGCACACATACACATGCACGCTGGCACGAGGCCTCACACAGTTAATCTACTTTAGTAATAAGCCACCGTACGCTGAAATTGTGAAGAAGTGGACAGCAACTGATGGAGGGAATCCGTGTCAGAGTGGACCCGATGAACCGGCGCGCCACGCCGACGCCACGGTGTTCTGCCGCCATCTGCTGGCCTCCAGCGACGGGCTGCTGGTGCAGACTTTTGTGTTCACGGCGGTGTCACAGAGTTCGTTCCACAAATATCAGACATTATATTTGCCTGCGTCTGACGTATTTGGATTTCGAGGAGATGAAAAGCGCAGCGAACGATTCGTCCTTCAGCCTCCAGCACGATGGAACCAACAGTCGGAGATGGTCTGAAGCCGATTTTGCAGGACAGATTCAGTCACGAGTTGCTTCTGCCAAATCAGATGTCTTCGTATTATTTAGAACTATCTACACTTAAGCAGTATTTTTATTTGTGCCTCTGAGTACGAGACAGCAGGTTTATGGGCACAGACAAACCAAAGGACCCTCCATCATAAGAGGAAGACGCCCAGACTGAAAACAGAAACACAAAATGACAACAATCGATGCAGCAGTCTTTGCAGTCGTTTTGTCTCTGGGCATTTTTTTTGCATCTCATTATGATTGTTTTCTATCTTCCTCAAATTTCCATTTTGCAATTTTTCTTTTCTTTTTTTCCCCCCCTCGGTTTAAGGTTTAAGTGTCCCTAAATATTTGATTTGTTGCCACTTTGTCGTTGGTTTGTGTCACCTTGTTTAACTTTGCGGTCATTTTACATCTTTCTGTGAGTCGTTTGTGTCTCTTTTCGGTCATTTTTGCATTTCTTTTTCTCTTAGTGGTGAGTTTACATCTCTGTTGTCGCTTTGTAGTATTTTTTTTTCTCTTTCTTGCGAGTTTGTGTGTTTTTAGTTATTTTTGTAGAGGATGTGAGTGTCTTTGAGGGTATTTTGCACGTCTGTAACTGCTTCTTGTAGTTTTTTTTTGCATCTCTTTGTAGCCTGATTCTGTGTCTTTTGCGTTTATCTGTTTGTCTTTGCAGTCATTAGAAAAGATGAGACTTTGCAACTCTGCCCAGCGACACGTTGAATGACTGCATTTGTCCATCAACCTGCTGGTGGGTCAGTTTCTGCAAACATGTATTCAAAATGTTGGTAAAGATTCAGTTTTTTATCAGTTGATGAAGACCTCACAAATGGAAAGGTGCAACCATAAAATATGGATTTGAACATATACCTCAAGTTACACATCCTAAATAAAGAGCTGGAAGAATATATACATCATCACGACACTGTCAGAGAAAGAAGGGAAGTGGCTGTGAAGGGGTTAAACCTGTAATTAATACTCGACAGGGTACACTTCTCAAGTCTGGCTTTATTCTGTGGGAAACATTAGTCTCGTACACGTCTAACTCGTTGGTGCAACATGACAGACAGCTACTCGGTACAGCAGTGCCTACAATTAATAATATATATCCATGTTTACAAGCAAAATAAACAATGTTAAAAAGATAAATATTAGTTTCAGTGTAAAGCACAGCAGCAGCAGAACTGTACTGAATCAGTCTCACATAAATATGCTGAACCTCACACTCGTCCTAGGCGGATGTACACACACACACTGGGTTTTTACGTCAGTGTCTATTCTGTCCTCGTGCCGCTCTGCAATCAGAGCCTGTCTAAGCGACTGGAGACAGAGAAAGTGCATTTTAAAAACAGTGACACTAAACATCCAGGGCGACAAGGACACACAGATGCATGGCAGGACAGCTGTGTGTGTGTGTGTGTGTGCGTGCGTGCATGTGTGTGTGTGTGCAAGAGCATGTGTGTGCATGTGAGAGTAGTAGTACCGCGGAGGCTAGCTTACAGTTCATGAGTCGTGATGTCGCGACAAAACAGAGGAGCAACACTAAAGGAAACGACAAAGACGAGGAAATGAACACAGCAGGTGGCCGACCAGAGGCGGCGGTTCACGTTGTTACTGGGGCTCTTTAACGACACATGGAGCGGCGCCTCACACGCGTTGGGTCGTCCACACAGACTGGGCTCGGCGGGCCGCCGCGCCGGCCTTCACATGGCCACCGAAGCGTCCGACTCTTTGGGCCGGGTGCGTAGGACGTGCTCCAGCTGCCCGGAGTCGGAGACGTCGTAGCTCGTCTTGTACTTGGCCAAGATCTTCATGAGAGGACGCAGCTTCAGCCACCACTGCTCCTGGGGGATCCTGTGACTGCAGACAGAAGGAGAGAAACCTCAGCGCTGTGGTTGTGTGGTTTTGTAAACTAAATACGAAGGAATCTCTCTGTTCTTGTGTTCACTTCTCCTGCTAACATCTAGCATTTTCAGGGATAAGATCATTCTACTCATTGATATAAATCTCCCAACTCTAAATCAATTCATTGTATAAAATCTGTGCTGCTTGTACACTTTGTGGCTCCTGCTTGCAGTCCTCGGCACGTTCAGGGGTTTTGCATTGACACTAAAGCAGCGACTCACAAGAGACGGATTACTTATGGGTCAAAGGTCAAGCTCCAAAACTAATGGAACCTACATTTCCCATAATACAACTCTACAGTGTGTCAGATTGTGCTGCGGGCTTTCTCAAGCTTTGGGTCACAGCCAACATTATTCAACAGTTCTCAAAGGCTAAGCTGTGATCCCTGTGTAACCATGAGGCTTATTCCAGTTTAGATCACAGAAAAACCTGGTTCTCCGTCTCCCCGTACACGTGGTTAATACCAGTATCAGAGGTGGTGTGTGCTGCTGCTGGTGCAGGTGGCCTTGATTTTTTATTTTTTTTTTTACACAAACCGGCAATTTAATCTGACATTCCTCTAACTGTTGGTCTTTAATTAATCTGACTGTTAATTCTGACTGTGACAGGCTCCGGCCCTCTGTGGCGCTCCACAGGATGGATGTTGACAATGAGGCCACTTTGGTGTATATAGGC